AGAATATGAATGAAGATTGGATCACAAAACAAATGCATCTAGGGGAAATGAATGGGTTAAGAAAAAGGGGAAGATTGAGGAAGTCTTGAATAGACGAAATTGATGAGGTCCTAGAAAAAAGAGAGAAGTGAAAAGCTTAAAACAATAACAAAAAAGGGCAATATATGAAGAGGTCTGTGGAAATGGTGGAAGCAAGGAAAATTAGCCAAGACAGAAAGGTACAGAGAATATGGTAAATGGTGCTGGTGGAAGCTAGATTTAGCTAATTTCCTTTCCTTTTTTTATTTCATGCCTTTAGTTTCTTTGGCTTACTAGGGCTTATTCTCTTTCTGCACTTTCCTTGGGAATATTGTGATGGGTACGAATGCCTGTATCTTCAAACAAATGTTCCTTTTCTTTTTCCGTTTATCTTATTTCATTCATCGTAGATATATGGAAAAATCATTCCATTTGCTTCAGGAGGCAATTCTTTTTTTTAAACCAGATGATGAGCTCATTCATCTGTTGACTCATTTATGGAGTCCAGAAAGTTTCACCTCAGTTCTTCCCCATCGTCAGACTGTCTCTCCTCACATTCCCATTGGCGTCCCGACTCTTTCTGACCTTGGGCTCTAACGCTTTTGGGCTTGCACCCAGTACCCAGCTGGCTGAGTTCCTAATTCTCAAGGCTTGCTAAAGGCAAATATTCCCTCATTACAGCTCAGCCTCATTTCTTACAGCAAACTGGGCAGTTTTCCTTTTCTGTAAAAGAGGTAACCCTTTGGTCTTCTTCTTTCTGGCACACTAGATACTCTTGAGGGTGCCAGAATCACTCTCTCTAGCCACACTTCAGACACATCAATAAAGCAATAAAAAAGAAGGAACTACTTGTCTTATTTTAGAGTCAGACTTAGTAGGGTGCCTCATAAAACATCCTGAATTGTAATCTCCCCCCACACAGACACACATAAATACATTATACATTTAATTTTACTTACCTCTTTTTAATAACTACAAAGTAACTTTAAAATATGTACCAGCAACCAGTATGAATGTTATATGCAAACTGTGGGTACATATCTGTGCCTGCTGTTTTTGATTTTGATCTCAGTTCATAGTTATATAGTGTAATGTGAATAGCATTAACCACTAATCAACCAGTTAGTTGACTGATATATGACTAAAAGTCCAAGTGGCAGAAACTGTAAAAGACTTCCCACAAATCTAAGAGCAAAGTCAAACCTAGACTTTATGAGCAATCATAGTCTCACCCCATAGTCTTTAAAAAATAATTAGACTCTTAGGACTTTTTCCCTGATAATTTGACGTGACATTCAAACCCAAGTTTTACACATTCCTCCTCCCTGCTCCTCCCCACCTTCTTTTTTAGGTTCAGCTCAGCGCTGTGGATCTTTCTTATGTCTCACTTTATAGACAAATTTTTAACTGATTAATTAACAAAAACCATCCCTGAGACATTTCCATGAGTCATTCCTTTTTCTTTCAGGTCTGAATCATGTTTTTTACTATTGCCCCAAATCCACCCAATACTGCTTGGGAATTCAAGTATCCACTGAATATGGAATAGCCTCTAATTCTCAATTCGTGTGCTTAGTCAAATTGTGAGCTCATATCCTATCTTACTTCACCTTGGTGTTTTTACTCTATTCGTCTGGGAAAAAAACCTGAATATGATACAGCACTGCTTTGTGATGGTCTGATATATGCTTTAGGATAGTTCAGTCAGGACTGTAAAGTGATCTTTTGTCCTTAGTAGCAGCACCCTTTCTATAAAACAACAGCAGGTCAACTTGTTCAAGACAGTCAGAAAAATACTGCGTTTTTAATGGACTTGTCCAGCTTCATTTAGAAGGAATAACCTCTAACTAGGCTGTATTATGGTGAAGGAAATCAGTCATATGAATTCTCAGACATTCTATAGCAAACAGCATTCTTGTGGCTATTGCTTAATCTGTGGGCAATTTGAGAGATACCTATATCTCTGGAAACCAAAAACAAACCTTTTCTGGAATACATGGACTTCAAGTCAAATCAAATCTTTATTGTTGCAGTCCAAGCCCAGTGTACATTCAAAAATAAGTCAAAACAAAAACTGAAATATGGCAAGAACAGTACAGAGTGTGCTAGAAGCATAAGCACTAAAAGTGAACAATGTAAAACTATACAGAGCAGAAAAAGTACAAAACCACTAAGAACATCAGCAAGATTTTCCTTGCTCTGGTAATGCACAAGGGAGGATTTACAGGGGGGAAAAATCACTGGGCAAGGTAGAATGGTCTCAACTGCCATCTGTTGGTTCCCTAAATACTGTGCCCCCTTTTTCCTGGAATTGAACTGGAGATTGCCAAAACTCCAGACAGAATGGCAGATAGCAAAGAATTTGGTACCAAGCTCAGGAAAATAATTGTCAGGAATGCTTGCTAGATGTTTTGTTTTGTTTCTGAGTCCTACTTCTCTCCCCTGATGGGTCTCTCTCATGTTGGTTTGTATATCGTAAATAGTGTTGTAGTTTGGCTTCCTGATTGCTATCTGGTTGAACTCTACCACCCCCACTCTCTCTTGGGAACCCACAGTGAAAAATGTCATGCTGACATTGGGCTGTTCCTAGTGAGATTGACTGGAAAAAAATGTGATCGCCAGAATTGGGAGGGAGGGAGGAAGGGAGGGAGGGAAGAAGGACAGACTCCTCCCTCCTCCAGGAAAAATGAAAAGAGAAAGAAAAACTATGCATTCAAAACTTCTTCAAACAAGTAATTCCACCTTCCTTCCTTCCTTCCTTCCTTCCTTCCT